AACTGACGGCTTTCTGATGCCGCCCGATTGGGCGGAAATCGACGTCAACTCCAGGCGTCTTCTCGCGCCCGATCGGGCGGCTGCCTCAAACTCCAGAAGTCCCTTCTCGTGCCCGATAGGGCGGCGAAGATTACGATTTCCAGACTACCAACAAAGGAAATAGTATTTAATTCTCTTTTATTTTGTGGTAATTGAATAACAATAGAGTAATTCCATTAATTGTTGTACTCATATGAAATTGGAACTTTAAATTTCTGCTTTGAAATGCGAGAATTTTTTTTAAATTTTTATTTATTTTTATTTATTTATTTATTTATTATTATTATTATTTTATTTTTTTTATATATCCGCTATATAGGTGATGAATATTATACATCCTAAGTTTAATTTTTATCGATTGGTGAAATTACCAAATGGTTAGTGGAGACTCGTGTTTAGGATGTGTTGATTGTCAAAGAAGTTGGCATTGAATTAGGTTTTGAAATGTTTGAAACTGTAGAATCTTCGACCGCATTCGGAAGCTTTGACTTTTATGGAATTTTATGATAATTTGGGAAATTTTGAACATGGGATGGGGTTGAAATTTATAGGTTGGGATTGGATTTCGGAGGTAAGGTTAGGATGATAATCAACAATTTTCGATGAAGTAGATAATCAAGCTAACTGCATAGTTTGTGTGGGATAAATTAATTTTTTACTTGATGAAAGGTGAGGATGGAGGTATGGAGTGGTGCTTATAAAGGATTTGTCCTTTGTTAATATAGTTATACAGGTTTTCAGTGGTATATAATTAAATTTTAATCGCACCATTTATATTTTGACCTTGCTAAAGATATTTATAAATTTTAGGATTTGTGGAAGAGTAAAAGAGAATTTCTTTACAGTAATTTTTATTGGACTTCACCAAGACCATGTGTTATGTCTTTTCCTCTTCCGAATTTTAGATGAAATAACATGGTCTATCCTCTATCTAGGATGGCATTTCGTGGTGCATGTCACTTGCGGGTGATATCAAATTAGTGGATGAGATTATATTCTCATTAGAATTTGGGTAAATGCTAAAGCAATTGAAGCTAAGGTTGGAGTAAATTCAAGTACAAGGAGTGCAAAGTATTAGAGGGAGCTAAGGGAGGACACAGTATTTTTAGATGGTAAAGTTCTACCCCTAAGCAAGTTTAAGTGCCTTGGGTTCATTTTACGAATTAATTAATGTATTGGCCAAGATGCAATTTACCAGTCGAGGAGGCTCAAACGGAGAGCGCCAACTGCAACTGTAGGTTACTTGTGAGGCTAATTGGAAAAACATTTAACCAGCATTATATGGTAGAAATGTCAGACTTTAAGTAAAGATAAAATAGATGCGTATGTTTAGTATTAAGATGGATGTGAGCATAACACAGATCCTTGTATTGAAAATTGAGATGGATGTATGGGTTCACCTGATGGTAGTTTTCACAATGAGGACCCTTAGAGTATGGTTGGAGTTGCAGATATTGAGGATATGTTAAGGGAGAAGTGGAATATCAATAGAGCTGCTGCGTTGGATTAGCTAATTTCAGCAATTGTGGGGCAGTGTGCGCTACTAAGTGACCTGAAGTGGGGTTTTCTTTGGCTAGATATACCTTTTAATTTATCTTTTTATTATAAATTTGCTTCATCTAAAGTGAGGATGCCTAGTGTTTGGATCCTTAATTGTAGGAATGATTAGAGGCTATTTTTTTGGCTGACTAATGATTACAGTTTTGGTAATCGGTATGTATAGAGATTATATGTGAACCTTTTATCTGTATTAGGGCCTTTCTGGCAATAATTTTGAAGCAACTGTATTAACTCCGCTTCTCAGTCTATGGTGGATGCCACCTCATAAGTGATATCTACAAAACATACACAATTCTTAATGGCCATTGGCCAATGAATAATTTAAGAATTTGAAGGAAAAATGTACATTAGACATCATAAGTGACATCTTGTCATTGTGGTGAAGCTTTCTTGAAGATAGATAGTGGTTTAGTTAAATTATCTCAGTAACTTCTCTCTTTGACTTTTTATTTTTACTTTGTGACGACAGCAAGTGGTGAAAAGATATGGAGTTACAGAATGTGACCCACTTGTGCTTTAAAAGGGATTGATAGGTGTGTAAGCTTCTCGTTCATTGTTATCTGACATCTACAAAAATACACAATTCTTATTTGCATATGAACAGTTCCCCTAGAAATATTGCACTAAGTTACCAAAGCCAAATGCACTTGCAATAACTATTTACGTTCTGTCGTATTAAATCATTAAGTGATTCTAGAGTTGTTTGCATAACCTAACGAACTTTTACTGCTTTTTTTAGCAGGCTCGATACCTGATTATTCCCTATATCCCAATGTTGATACCTCCAAAGAATTGGAAAGGGTATACTTATCTTCTATCTCCTTTTTTTTGTAGAATTGTCTTCTATCTTTTTGTTTTTTAATAATTTATTTAATAATAATGTTTTCAGTAATCCTTGATTAATTTTCTTTCACAGAGAACTATGAAACTTATGCCCCTTTTACCATTTTTAGATCCTACTCTAAATTACTCTAAGTTAAGTAAGCTGTGGAAAATGGTTATTTTGAAAAAGATTGTGCAAATTTGGAAGTTGGATGGAATATCGACTGTATATATATAAAAAAAAAAAAAAAAAAGGGCAGCCCTGTGCACATCGGCGTCCCCGCTAGGCGAGGGTCCGGGGAATATAGACTGTATAGAGTGTAAAAAAAAAACCTATGAGACTCAGAATATGATCAGAAGGAGAGAAGGTATTTTAGTATTGTTTATTTAAGTATAAAACTTAGAATGTGTTGTACTATTTTACCATTAATACCTTTGATTATATTTGCATACTATAATTGGCATCTTCTATATTATTATTGTCCAGGTATGAAATGGGTGGCTACTTGTTCCTACCATCTTAAGTTATGCAAACAAGGGTGGCTACTTGTTCCTACCATCTGTTATGCAAACGCAGGGTTCAAGAAAGCAGCAAGAAGCGATGAGGAAAACTCCACCACAGCAGAAAGAAATGCAAAAATTGTTGGAGGTACAGCAGAATAGAGCTTCTTAGTCTTATTTTAATGGATTTTATTTATTTATCAGCTGCTCAAATTCTTAACTAGCCTGAGTTAATCATGGTGCAAGTTTGCAGTATTTCGGCGTCCCCACCCCCCCCCCCTTTTTTTTGGTTGTGATTACACCCTTAAACCTCTGCACATCTGAATTGTGTACTATAAGTACGTTCAGTTTTCCCTTTGACACTTGGACTGTTTAACTAATACCATTAAGTCTTGTGTCTTGTAAAAAAAAAAATGCTCAAATCCTCCATAATTGTCCTAATCGAATGGATTTGTTTTATTTATTTATACGAAAATAAAAATTTGAAAGATAAATTGAATGTTCTATCCATCCTTAATTAAATTTCAATCATTCCTGAGCTCAAGTTGGAGAGGAGGGTTATAATTTCTCTTGAACTAAATAGCACTTAGTTTGTTTATACACCGTGAACAATGCCAGCTCCGCAATAATCAGAACTTAAGTTGATTGTAGTTATTAGTTTTTGGCTCTACTTTTCTACGAATTAGTTTTTTTTTTTTCCCCTTTTTTTCTTTCTATTTTAGGGGACGCTTGGTTGGTAGAGGGGAAAGGAAAACACATTAGGAAAGGGAATGAGAGAGAAAGGAAAGCAACTCCCCCATTTATAATGTGTTGTTTGTTGTATTAAAAAAGAATGGAATCAAATATGAAGCACCAGCATTCTCCACCACCACTATTGTTCTCCACCACCATCATTGCAATTGTTAGTCATCAAGCCTCCAACACTGCCGCCCCTCCATCCCTCTACTATCGCATCGTCCGACTCCGACACTCACCCCCTGCCGTACCCATGCCATCCTTCTTCTCTCTCTTCTTTTAATTTTATTTTTTTCGTAGATGTGGTATTTTGTTTGTTTTTAAGGTGTTAAGGGTTGTTTATTTGGGTGTTAAGGGTTGTTTATGGGATTGTTTGGGTTGTTTATGGGGTGGTTTGGGTTGTTTATTGAGATGGTTAGCGTTTTTGGGTGGTTTTCATGGTGGTTTTTGAGGGTAATAAGCGGCGAACGTGGTGAGTGTAAAGTTCTGAGTGGGTTTGGGTGGTTTCGAGGAAGGTGGGTTTTGGGTGTGGGTGGGTTTTTTTTCCTTGTTTTTGGGTGGTTTAGGTGGGGAAGGATGGTGGTTGTGTGGTGGTGAATGTTTGGGCGATGTTTCCGGTGGCTAGGCGGTGAATCTGTTGGCGGTTGGGAGCGGTCTGGGACGTATCGTCGTGTGTGCCACGAGTATCGGTGTTTGACACGATGTCTGACACGGACACGATATGTCCGTGCATCCTAGGTATAGACCCTCATGTCCATAATAATATTATTGTGAACCAGGTATACACAAGTTTTGAATTTTTATAAGTTTTATTCATGTAGTGTGTCATTGATTGCATCAACAATGTCAAGTTTACTAAAGGTTGTTTAAATTGAAATTGATGTTGAGTTTATTAATATTTACTGATTTTTGAAATTAATTTTGTTTGAATTGAAGGATGAGGTAACGAGTGTGATTGGTTCGAGTTGCTACACTATTGTTGCTATGACGAGCGACCGGTATCTTTGGAAGCATTTCTCTGCCGCCTTATTTTTTTTTCCGATATGATGCACTGAATAGTATGTTGTGCCTGTTGAGAGGGCTGTGACAACAAAGATGCAACACATGCAGAGCAAACTGGAACAAATAAGCACTCTTGGCAACTGGCAGGTTAGTTGATTACCCCTCCATTTTAGAGTAAGATGTGGTAGTAGAAACTTGAAATTTTGATCTTAAAAACTGCTTGATTTATGCCTTCTCTTCAGGTTCTGAATGAAGCGGATCATATGCTTAACATGGAGTTTGAACAAGATGTCTGTTATGTATTGAGCCAAACAAGCTCTCGTACAGTGGGGTATGTTATGATTTCATCTCTGCATGTATCGAGTCATAATTAGCATTTTTTCCTAATGAACGCTAAATCCATAACCCTTAAAAGCCAAATTCAAGGGTTAAGGTAGCTATTTTTTTTGCTTTTGCTTATGAACAGTAAAATACCAGCCATGCCCTTAATTCATGCCTATTTTTTTGCTGAAAAACCTTATGAACAGTGATTTGGCGACTTTGCCCTTGCTTTATTAATTTTTTTTGCACATGGAGTGGTTTTTTCTCCTTTGGCCTTTGCTCTCTCGAATCATCTGAACTCTCTCAAACTCATACCTCCTTCTTCTATTTCCTTCCTTCACGAGATCGCACCACCACAACAACCATTCTTCCTTTCTAAACGCGCACCACCACAACGCGCCGCCAGCACCGCTGCCCATCCATTCTTTCTTGAACGAACTGACGTCGATTTGGGTCGAAGTTTTTTAGAGGATTCAATCCCGTTCCTTCTAACTCTTATCGCAATCTTGATGAGCAGATTGGTCAGCTTATGTAATGCAAGCCTCCTTCCGAACAAGAGGTTTTCATTCTTTCTCTTTCTACAATTCAAATGTGCTTGATCCATTTGTTCTCTTTTCATCTATTTGTTAATTTTGAGATTTTTGTTTTGTTTTTTAGGGTTTGTGGTACATGAAAATTTTGGGATTTTTGTTTTGTTTTTGAGGGTTTCTGGTACCCGAAACAATTCCCAACTTTCTGCTTTTTTTCTCTCTCTCTTCCGACCAAGAACCAATTCAGGGTTTTTGCGTTTGTTTCAGGCAAGCTTCAACAATCTTCAATGGCGGACGATGATTACAATGGGTAACTTCTCTTCTAATTAATTCATGTTTTTTCGCAAATTATCGTATTTTTCACTGATTAAGCTCTCTCTCCTTCCCCTGCACACTGAACACTGATTAAAACCATACTTTGAAGATTCTAAATTGCCTTGGCACGAGCACGATATTGAAGATTCTGGAACGAGTTCTTCAAGATTCTGGAACGAGTTCTTCTGTATGATTTTCTTTAACTTGATCTATTTTTATCAAATTTTGTTCTGCTTAAATATTGTTAATATAATCTTGTTATTGTTCTTTGATGATTTCTCTCAATTGACTTCTGCATTTTCGATTTTCTAGGTTGGTTATACCCTTAAAATGACTTATTTAGAGAAAGAAATTAATGGGTATTTGATTATTAGTTCATTCAACCTGGCATTATGTAGAAATGTCAAATATTAGCTTGTTGTATGTTTTTGTTCTGCTTAAATTATTGTTAGTATAATCTTGGTGTTGTTCTTTGATGATTTCTCTCAATTGAATTCTGCATTTTCAATTTTCTAGGTTGGTTATACCTTCGAAATGACTTATTAATTAATGGTTAATTTACAGAAAGAAGTTAATGGGTGTTTGATTATTAGTTCATTCAACTTGCATAATGTAGAAATGTTGAATATTTGCTTGTTGTATGTTTTGATTTTCTGCTTCGTATCAGAATCTTGGTGATGTTCTTTGATTATCTCTTGTTAATACGATAATTTTCGTGCCCTCCCTGTTCAATTGGTTATGATGATTTTTCAATACTAATTTCTGAAAGGAAAGTTTTATTTGCTACAATCCATTTGAATGTGAATGAGCTATTTTCTATAGGGACTTATCTATAGGTGCTAATTAATGACAATAATGGTACTGAGTTACTAATTAAATTTATCAGTAAAGTCTTGGGACAATGACCATGATTTGGGGTACGGTTTTACATATTGACTGAGGCTGGTCCTAAGTTAGGGGTAGCACCAACCAATTATGAATTATAATGGCTGGTTTTAATTTGTTTGGGGAATACAACTACATTTCCAGACAATTAAAACCCCTGTTGTAAAAGGTTTAGAGTTTCTTTCCATGTTGAAAATTTATGTGGCATCCATACATATTATCGGGTTGTGAGAGAGAGAGAGTGGGGGGGGGGGGGATAAAATTTCATTTCCAGACAATTTGTGCCTGTTGTAAAAGGTTTTGAGTTCCTTTCCCTGTTGAAAAATTATGTGGCATTCACACATTATTTCTCAGATTTTGTTAAATATTATGTGATGGGCTATCAGCTCTGGAAGTGTGTGAATTATCTAAACGGAGCGCGCGCATATATTTTGCTCATTATGACTGTATGAGCGAGGTAAAATAGAAAGGGAGTGAGAAAATGAGGGCTTTGAAAATGAGGGAGTGAGCCAATAGATAAATTGATGGATACACAAGTAGGAAGTGTATTTCTAAAATTCACAATACGTAATAATGAGTAAGAGCAATAAATTGCGAGAATGAATCTCTCGAAATTGATGTCATGAGTCTTTTTATTGGTGTTATTAAGCTATTTGTTATTCTAAGTGATGATGTTGCTTGTCCATTGTGGGTTTTGTTCTCAGTATGCCTATGAAGAAATAGATGAAGTGCAAGCATCCAACACCTTGGGGTGAGTTTGAAATGGGGAATGATTAATGAGGTATATGGTGAATGCCAGAAGTGAGATTCATCTGTAGTATAAATTTATTTTAATTCTTCAGCAGTCTGATGGTCGTCTTTATGTTCTTATGTAAATATGTAATATATTGGTTGTTGATGTCTTCTTCTATATTTCCTTTCACTTGTTTTATATTTAGTCTTTTCAGTTACTCTTTCTTAACTACCCACATGATTTCCCTTGACATTCTCAATTGCTTATAGGGTTAAAAACTTAAAACAGCTTATACTACAGAAGGAGTTTTGTTCTCTTTCAACCCCGTTTCTTTCTTATTTTCCACATTTTTTAAAGTCGTAATATCACATGCTTCTTTCACTTATTTGGGTTTTATTTACTGGCTCCTTCATTATTCAATGGTTTCATAGAAAAAAGGGAAAATACTAAGTCGAGACATTAAGGGGAGTTTTCAGAATATGTTTCCATGTTAATTCTTTGTATGTAGAGTGATTATATAGATTTTTTCCCTATGCATGTCAATTTTTTTGTAAAAAATCATCTAGGTTGATCAAGTTATCTTTCTTGAATGAATTTAGCTGAATACTATTGAATAATACTAACGCGTAGAATCAGACTGCTGCAATTAAGTTGCAAAAGCAAAAAATTGGGGTTAATAAAGCTGATCATGGTCAACTTTCTTAAATATGTAAAATAAACTGTAGTGATTTTGAGTTGTCTGTGGGTGAAGCTGTGAAGGAGTAGTTGCTTTACTTGAGGCAATGTTTGAATAATATTTTTTTTTAGGCATGGATGAAGGTATTTATTAGCTGTTAGAAAGAAATCAAATGTTTTTCTTCCATTGCATTATGTCAGTATTCTTAATAGTCTAATAAACAGATTGAAGAATCAACACTCTTTGTTTATATTATGTGTACTTTGTCTTAGTTAAGTAGTGAAGTTCAATTTTCTCCAATGATTTTCCCCTGCGCAATATTCTAAGCCTTTGAGAATTCTCCTGTATTACTATGGACTACTTACCTGTCTATTAGAAATATTCTGATTATCAGTGGTTATTCTGATTATCAGTGGTTACTGCCTTTTGCATGTTTAGCTGTCCTATTGGTTTTCTAAACAATCATTCTGCTTATAATGAGCTCATTGTTAACATATGATATATTCCCCTTGATTTCATTTGGTGTTTAATTTCTTATAAATTATTAAATTTGTGTGGATTGTCTGTGCGGGGTTCTTCAGTTTCCAGCTGGTCGAATTCACCATCACCTTAAGTCAAGAGCCTCGGTCAATGGTCATGTAGGTGCAACTGCTGCTGTCTACTCTGCAGCGACACTTGAGCTCATTTTGCTCAAGTATCGCTGCATTTTGCAGTCGAAATCTTGCATTTTGCTCATCTTACTCACCCTAATTTCTGAATCTGATGATAACCTAGATTTTAATTTTGTTCATACTCCTATGTGACAGTTTTTGAGCTCATTTCTTTGATTTTTTTCGATTTGGAGAATTGAGGAAGAATTTTATGAGTGTGAAATTGCTGGGGTGTTTTGGGGATCGTTGCCCAGTTTTCCACTCTCTTTCTCTCTCCTTTGATTATGATCATCAACATTAAACGGCCCTCCCCCAAATTCTAAACCCTATACCCACAACCCTAACCCTGACTTTTGGGGATTTTTTGCTGAATCTTGAATATGTTGCAGAGGCGATATTTTTTTTTATTTTTCTGAAAATGGCATCTGAGTTGCATGACTGGTATAACCTCGGCGAAAGAATATGAACTTTTGGATTGAGGAAACCTTTAAACAGGTGGCTCTCCAAGTTTAATTCTCTCCTTGAGTGTACAATTATATGCTATGCAATCCCTTGCGATTTGATTCAGATCAAAGTTGTCCTTGTATGAGCCTAAACTTACAAACTAACATGAAAGTGGTGAGGCAGTGGGTTTTAAGGGCGGAGAGCCTTTGGGAGTTCTGGGAGCTGTTGAGATTTGGGTTTGATTTTGGAAGGAGTTTGAATTGCTGAAAACCTTCTACTACTTATCATCAGTGTGATTAACATGATACCCTCATGTTTGTGTGTGTTTTCTTTTAAAATTAATGTCCAGTTATGGATCATCATACGCTGATGTGTGTCTTTGCTTATGGATCATCATTCACTTATGTTTTTGACTCTTTTATCTTTTTTTTTTTTTTTTTTTGAATGGTGTTATAAGATCTCCACGACCTCATGTTATTATATGGGTTTGAATTGTGATCATTGGAGTTCAAGGGAACTCCAAATGTTATCCTTTTAATCTATGTGTTTGCTTCCCAATCTAATATTTTATTGTGTTTTCAGTGCTTAAGGAGGTAAGAGAGATGCTCGGATGAAGTCTGATCCTGCAAGGTGGAAGCCGAGGAAGAATTCTATGAAGACATACCCTGTCATTTAACGGATTGGACTTACTGTATTTATTTTATTTTATGTATCATAATCTGTAATCTTTTGCAGGCTCGGTTTTAATTGTTTAAAGCCTTAAACTATTATGATTGAGCTAGCAGTTCAACTGAAGTTTGTTCATTAGAAGCAGTGCGGATTACTACGTATATTAATTTCTCCTTTGTTTTATTGGCTCTCAAATCTATGTCAACAGACTTTTACTGGGGTTCCACCTATTTTGATACATGTATGGAATAACTTTGTAATTTTCGTTATTGCAATGTTGAGGTTTTAGCACAATTTATAAGGTGTTTGCAATTAGTTTAGTTTTTTAAGTTTTAAACAATCATTATTGGATGCTTTAAAATGTAATCTTATTTAAATTTTGTAAAGTTTAATTATATTTGAAGTGTAAGTGTAGTGTGTAACCCATTGTGAAAATACTATTCCTTGGGAAATGATTATGGCTTTTTGATGAAACGGGAGTAGCCTATTAACCAAAAGCTACCTATTAACCATCAATTTATTAGCTTTGTTAATTCAATTATGTGTCTTGTGTATTATTGGTAAAAAAAAGTGATGAACAAATGTGAGATGTAATTTGTATATACTTTTAAAAGTGAGTAAATTCTTTAGGGGAATTGTACAAACTATTTAGGAGTGATAATTTATTTAAAGGTGAGGTTCGGTTAGGGGTTACTTAAGAAGTTCGGTTAGGATTACTTGAGGGTTTAGTTAGGGGTTACTTGAGGGGGAAGGGGTTACTCGAGTGGTTAAATCATGGTTTACTCAAGGGGTTACTCGGTTATGGGTCACTTAAGAGGTTACTTGTTAAGGAGTTCCTCAAGTAGTAACCCTTGACCAATCAACCTAAGTAACCCCAGCAACTCAAGTGATCCCGTATTGAGAAACTCGAGTAACCCTTGTTGCATGGTACAACAGGCTGCATACAAAAATTTGTGATTTTATAATATAAAGTATAGTTAATGAGATATATTTATTTATTTGTACGAGTGAGAAAAAAAAAAGTGTAAATGGAGTAGGTTAGAGAGAAATAATAAAATAGTTGTGGACTCGTACCAAAAGAAAGTACTGTTGCAATTATTATGAAACGAATTGTGGCAGGGTTCACTCGAGTTATCTTTTTAGGGGTTACCCGAGTTATTTAGTCAATGGTTACTCGAGTTACTCGGTCTAGGGTTACTTGAGGGGGTTGGGACAAGGATTATTCGAGGGGTTCACTTGGTCAAGGTTTACTTGAGAGGTTCACTCGGTGAAGGGTTACTTGAGGCGTTACTCAATCAGGGGTTTCTTGAGAGGTACTGATAGGGGTTGCTCGAGGGGTTCACTTGGTCAAGGGTTACTTGAAGGGTTACTCGGCCAGGGGTTACTCGAGTTACCCAGTCAAGGGTTACTAGGTCATAGGTTACTCGAGCTACTCAGTCAGTTTTTACTCGAGTTACTCGCTCAGGGAGTATTTAAGGAGTTCGATTAGGGGTTACTTGAGGGTTAAGTTAGGGGTTACTTGAGGGGTTACTCAATCATGGGTTACTTGAGGGGGAGGAGTTACTCGGTTAGGGGTTACTCAAGGGGTTCAGTCATGGATTACTCGAGTGGTTACTCGGTCAGGGGTTACTTGAGGGAGGGGTTCACTCGGTCAAGACTTACTCAAGGGTTACTCGGTCAAGGGTGACTTGAGGGGCTACTCGTTCAAGGGTTACTCAAGTTACTCAGTCAAGGGTTACTCGAGGGATTACTCGGTCATGGTTTACTCGAACTACTCGGTCAGTGGTTACTTGTGTTACTTGGTCAGGGATTATTTAAGGAGTTCGGCCAGGGGTTACTTTAGGGTTCAGTTAGGGGTTACTTGAGGGGTTACTCAATCAGGGGTTGAGGTTACTTGGCCAGGGGTTACTTAGGGAGGGGTTATTCGGCTATGAATTACTTGAGGGAGGGGGGTTCACTCGATCAACTTGAGGGGTTCAGACATGGGTTACTCGATGGAGTCACTTGTTCAAGGGTTACTTGTGGGGTTACTCGGTTTGGGGTTACTCGAGTTACTTAGTCAAAGGTTACTCGAGCTACCTGGTCAGTGGATACTCGAGTTACTCAATCAGGGGTTATTTAAGGAGTTAGGTCAGGGGTTACTTGAGGTTTCAGTCAAGAGTTACTTGAGGGTTCAGTCAAGGGTTACTTCAGGGGCTACTTAATCAGGGGTTACTTGAGGGGGGGGGGGGGGTTACTTGGTTAGTGGTTACTTGAGGGGTTTAGTCATGGATTACTCGAATGGTTACACGGTGAGGGATTACTTAAGGGGTTACTCGATAAGGAGTAACCCAATCAAGTAACCCTTGACCCAGCAGCTCGAGTAACCCCAGCAACTCGAGTAACCCATGACCGAAAAACTCCAGTGACATCGGCAACTCAAGTAATTCCATACCAAGAAACTCGAGTAACCCTTGTTGTACGATACAACAGGCTGCATACAAAAATTTGTGATTTTATAATATAAAGTATATGCACTGGGATATATTTCTTTGTTCGTAGGAGCGAGAATTAACAAAACAAAAAAGTGTAAATGGGGTTGGTCAGAGGGAAATACTAAATATTGTTGGACTCTTATAAAAAAAAAGTAGTGTTGCAATTATTATGAAACGAACGGTGACGGGTTATTTTGTTAAGGGTTACCCGATTTATTCAAAAAGGGGTTACTCGAGTGAGGGGTTAGAACAATGGTTACTCGAGGCGTTCACTCGGTCAAGGGTTACTTGATCAAGGTTACTTGATCAAGGTTACTTGAGGAGTTCAAACAGGGGTTAATCGAGGGGTTCACTTGGTCAAGGATTACTTGGGGGGTTACTCGAGTTAATCAGTCAAGGGTTACTCGAGTTGATCAGTCAAGGGTTACTCGAGAAGTTACTCGGTCATAGGTTAATCGAGCTATTCGGCCAGTGGTTAATCGAGTTACTCAGTCAGGGGTTATTTAAAGAGTTCAGTCAAGGGTTATGTAATCCCCCGTATTTTTAAATATTTTATAAATGAAATTTTATTTTATTTATAATATTTATTTGTACTTTTCCGAAATTTAATTACAAAAGTTTCAAATTATTAATATTGGTCAAAAATTATTTTAGCACAAACTATTTTATGAACCTATGTTCTACAATTCATGATCATACAAACAAAGCCTAGTCCATTTCATTTACCTAATTGGCCCAATAATTTTATGAGGCCCAATCTTCTTACTTACCCTACAACATTCTCTCCTATAAATACCCCATTAATCCCCAAAAATTTCCCACACCAAAAGGTTAGCCTTATTTTCTCTCTCCTTTGTTTTATTAATTTGTATAATTATAATTATTGATTTATGGATTTTGATTTTATTGTTTGAAAGTAATTTAATTAGTATCAAGTTGTATTTTGATGACTAAACTTTATAATTTCAGATTTTATAAGTATCATAATTTTCAGATTTTGTAAATTTTATAACCTAGGGTTTTTAATTATTGAAAATCATGATTTTAGGGTTTTTATGAACAATTGATTTAGGGATTTTATAGTAATGATGTTTTGAAATTTTGGTGATTATAACTAATGATTAGTTTAACTTAATTCCAGATTATTTTGAACATGTAAATTCGTGTTTTAGTTTTTAGATTTTCGTTCGTTAATATTAATCCCGTTTTAATCCCGATCAGATTCTGAACTCATCCGATTTTGATAAAACAAAAAAATAGTGTTTTCCATGTGGAAACAACGTTTTAAGAAAGACTCACTACCTATGGTAGTGAGTACCACCCTCTCGTGGCCAAATTCAGCCTCTAAATATGATTTCGGGCAGTTTTTGATTTTAACGAAGTTTTTTTTTTACTTAAAATATTATCCTTGAGTTTGATTAATAAAATTAATTATGTTTAAAGTTAATTAAGCATAAATATATGTTTTTTTTATTAAGTTTTAAGTGTTGGAAATAGTTTCTAAGTACTACTTTTAATGTTTTATAAAGAGGGTTTAATCACCCATTAAAAAGGGAGATTTTTAGGGGGTTTTATATAATTTTTAGATTTTTATTAGACTTTGAACTTGCTGTAATTTCATGTATAAGAGTGTATTTTAAGGTTTTTATGAAGAAAATTTAAAGAACTATATATAAGCCTTTAATTTTAACTAAAGGGAAGGTTTTAAAGTGTTGTTTGATTTAGATTTTGAAGGTTTTAAAGTAAGTTAGTATTGCTGTAAATTTGATTGATTGGGTATTGATTGAGATGTTATTATTTGGCTTAGGAGAGGAGTTTATTGAAGGTGATTTCTAGTTAGTAAAGTGGCATACCAATTCGTTTGCTCAAGGTACGTACAAGTTACGAAACCTTTCTTTTAGGTGCATGTTTAAGGACGACGGATCGAGAACTTAGTATCATGTATAGGGATGACTGAGTTAAATTGTTTGGTTATACATTGTGAATTTCGTATAACGTGCACTATTTTATATTGCAAGTATTATTTGTGCTCTAATTATGCAAGGTGCGCTTAGAGGCAAAGGTATATTATTGGTGTAATGATTAATTTATTACTCATTCGTGATTATGCAAGCAGGATGAGTAAAGGAAGAATTTAAGTCTTCTAAGACGAGGTTAAGGTTTTGGGGTGCCTTATGCACTCAAGGTGTTTATACACCAAGGTAGTAAAGGTATAAATAATAAATGTTGCTTGCCACTAATAAATCAAGAATTGAAATTGAAAAGTTGTTTTACTTGATTGAATTGATATTGGATTGATTGTATTGTTATGCATATGAGTCATCACCAAGTCTAAATCTGCAAATCACGTAAAGTGCAAGATGGATGAGCAATAAAACTCTGGATTGGTGCACTTCTGGAATAATGACAATCAGGGGTTGGGGTACATGGGGTATTACCTGTGTACTTTTCTCGAGGTCGTCTGATCTACGAGTCTCTTATTTCAAATATTTTTCAAAACTAGGAGTTAGGTGAGATCTCATACTAACTACGGTCACGGAGTCACGCCCGTGGTCGTTGGATGTTTATTGATGTTTCCGAAAGGAGGCATGAGGTTTTTCTTTTATTGATGTTCCAAATGGAGCATGGGTTGGACAACCTTGTCTATTGTGTAATCCAATGAATAAAAATAATGATTTACCTATTATTAATTAATGGATTCTTAGTAATATAAATAGTTGAGTCGTGTGTTGAGTCTATAATTTAATGATGCATGATGATTGATTATTAGTAGCATGTTATGGATTTCTTAATTTATTTTGCAGCTTGTATGTACTCAGCTTTGCTGATTGCGTGCTTTGTGTGTCTTTCTTTGGTCATGGCCTTCGCCTTTCAATGACCCTGTGACGATCCAATTTTTACACTTGTAATATTGGGGAGCAGAATTACCACAGGTTCTTACACATGCAACATTCATCAGGG